ATTAGAGACGCATGATAATTCCCTTTCAGCTGATTCAAGTCGAAGGTATTACATATCATTGTATCGGGATTTTTTTTTTCAGGCCATCTGAAGAATTACATGCTTCTTTATTATTCCAGGAGAAAATGGCCACATAGGATTACAAGATCCACTCCAAGCCCATTTGAATAAAATTAAAGTGCACTGCTTTTGAGATAAATGCTTTTCATCTCACAATAGGTTTGTTTTTTGTTTGCCCCATTGAAATACAATATCAGGAACTCAATTTGTTGAATGGACAAATATCTTGCAGGCTGTTTGAAGTAAACACACAAAAGAGAACTTCCTGTTATACCTTGTCTCTCATTAAAATGGTTTATTTTTGCTTCTGTCTCTCTGCAACTTTTGTTTACACTTTTGCACTTCCGCTCTATTTCTGGATGTGTGAGCAACAGCTTACAAGAGAGGTGGATACTGAATTTGCGAGATGAAGAACTACATTGTAGGAAAATGTTATGAAAGTTCCCATAGGCTGTACCACATATCGACACGCACACGCGCCCGCACACACACACACACACACACAATAACCTTCGTACTAATTTATTGAAATGCACCTGATTACAGGATTGGATGCAAATGTTTTAGATGTGCATGCAGATAAATTAATTGGTAGTTTTCCTCCTCAGCTAGGTGTAAACTGCACAAACTGTACAAACCACACATTTTATCAAAAACTATAGAATCACAGTGAAAAAGAAAACACGAAACACTTAAAATTGTCTAACAACAAACACATGCATCCTCTGATTTGGAGACAAAGGTAGATTTTTTTCATTGGAAGGTGGACACAGCCAACTGGACCGCGAACATCTGAAATCGTGCACTTTTCCAGTATGAGATACTGACTCTGTATAGGAAGACCTCGGCAAGGCTAAAGCTCTGCTTTTCTGTCCCAGACTGAAATACAGAGATGTTTGTCTTGGCTTAGCTCTCTGTTTGATCAGGGTGTTTTGAGAGTACTCACTGACCTGTACGAAGGCCATAGACATTGCATTTTGAAAACTTTTCCTTTGACCCTCCTTCTCCTCAAGGTAATTGCTACTTTGGTCAGTACTTTGTACCATTCTATGTAATTTAATATATGTTTTTTATTATATATACTGGGAAAATATGTCTTATCTCATTTGTGCAGCGAACAACATTTCTTATTTTTACCACTTCTTTCGCCAAAGGAATAGGATTTTCTATCCTTAAAACCTTTCGTTTTGATCAAATAATCTCAGAGCCTGTTTAAAAAAAATCAATAAATAAATCAATGTAAACAGTGAAGTTCGGTTCAAAAAGGACACCAAGACCTGCAGTTTTACAGTAAGTTGCAGTGAGCTATTACTTACCTGGAGAAGATGTAGGGTATTGATGGACAGACATTGTTCTTCATCACCTATTGATCTGACAATTTCTGTTAATGCACTGGTCAATAAGGCTCTTAAATGTAGTGTATAGTTTACAATACATAAGTTAGTTGCAACTGCAATGCATAAGTTAGTTGCAACTGGAAGCTTTCCATACAGAAACAGAGATAACTGCTGGTTTGGCACAGAGTTTTGGAAGGGAGTATTATTCACAAGTGCTTTAAAATTCAATTCTACTATTAAAAACACCTGCATTTTCCCTTTGCTTGCATCAACACAATGACTGATCATGAAGGAATAATATCAACGTTTTTTGTTTACCAACAAATTGTTAGAATAATAAAGTAATCAAAAATACCATAGGAAACCCCTAGGCACAAATTATTCTATTTCTATAAAGTTAGTTAGCTGGCAAGATTAATTAAGCTAATCACTCCTACCATTTACTGAAAAGCATACTCGTACTCGTATCTGGGACCGGGTCGTGGTGGCAGCAGACTTAGTAGAGACACCCAAACTTCCTTCTCCCCAGACACCTCCTCCAGCTCCTCCCGGTGGAGCCCAAGGCGTTCCCAGGCCAGCCAAAGAAATCCACTAGTCCCCAAACCAAGCCCCCTCTGGCCCTTGGTTGTGACTAGAAATCCTTTCCATGAAAATTATGAACAGGAACAGTGACAAAGGGCAGCCCTGTCGGAGTCAAACATGCATCGAGAACAAGTCCGACTTAGTGCCGGCAATGCGGACCAAACTCTTGCTTCCTACAGAATACGGATGGCCCCTAATAAAGGGCTTCGACTCAATAATCCTGGAGCACCCCCAACAGGGCACCACGAGGGACACAGTCAAATGCCATCTCCAGGTCCACAAAATACTTGTGGACCAGTTAGGAAAACTCCCATGATCACTGGAGCACCCTGTAGAGGGTGTAGAGCTGGTCCAGTGTTCCACGGTCTTGACAAAAACTACACTGCTCCTCCTGAAGCAGAAGTTCGACTATTGGCCGGACTCTCCAACACCCTGGCATAGGCCTTACCAGGGAGGCTGAGGAGTGTGATCCCCCTGTAGTTGGAACATACCCTCAGGGCCACCACCCCAGTCTGCTAGCCCAGAGGCAAAGTTAAAGACACGTGTCAGCCACGACAGGCCCACAACATCAAGAGACTTTAGGTACCCATCCATCCCAGAATCCTTGCCACCGTGGGTTTTTTTTAGCACCTTTGTGACTTCAGCCAGGTTGATGAACTAGTCCGACTCCAAGTCCCCAGGAACTGCTTCGAACAAGGAAAGGCGTGATGGCAGGATTGAGGAGATCTTTGAAGTACTCCTGCCACTACCCGATAATATCCCCAGTTGAGGTCAGCAGCTCCCGACCCCCACTGTAAAGTGTTGGTGAATTTGAGGTGAATCTGAGGCCCAGGACGGTTTGCCATAATCGCTTGAGGTCTGACCGGTAGTCCTTTTCTATGGCCTAACCAAACTCCTCCCAAGCCCGAGTTTTTGCCTCTGCCACAGCCCAGGCCGCGGCATGCCTGCCCACACGGTACCCGTCAGCTGCCTCAGGAGTCCCACAAGCCAACCACAGGCAATAGGACTCGTTCATATTGACGGCATCTTTTACTGCCGGTGCCCATCACCGGGTTCGGGGATTTCCACTTGCCGAGGGCTCCACCAGATTTTCCCAGCAGACCCCCACTTGGGCCTGCCAAGTCTGTCCGACTTCTTCCTCTTCCAGCGGATTCTACTCACTGAAAAACATATAAAATTTTTATATTCTGTTGTGCTAGACAGAGATGCAAAATCTCTAATTCAAGTAAAATCTGAATACATCTTAGCCAAAAGTGGCATCGGCAGGTCAGGACCTAGAAAAATGGAAAAAGGCCACAAAGCTTTGATCAGTGGATCTCTAGTTTATCTATTAACTATGTTTTAGAAAATGCTGAAGGGATACAAAAGGGATAAAACAAGGATACAGGGCTGGTGTAACATCTGTTTATGTTACTAGCTCAGTAGGGTGTTGAAGCTGCTCAAAGCAGAATATAGCACTGTTAAGACTTATTAGCCTGATCTGCACTATCATGAAGCAGCCATGGGCCAATCTCTATCCTTATTTGTATTCTCCAGCCTCTTTGTCCTAATGTCAGAAGAAACTCATAAAACAGAACCACAAAGCATTGATATATGACCTATAGTTTCACATCTCTTACTTATTGCTTTACATCGGGCACACTGGTCTCTTTACACTTTCACTTGATTTTCTGTGAGTCATGCAATCCCTGAGTTTACCTTTTTCCTAAAAAGATTAAAACAACTATTATTATCATTTCACTAGCCTTGACTTTAGAAAATCTCTTCAGGTTGCAAATAATAATTAAGCTCTAATAGTGCCAGTTTTTTTGCACGATCACTTTAAGAGTTTAGAGAAACAGCTGAAGAGTCTTAATAAGATTAGCCCTGCCACTTGCCAGCCACAGCTTATGAGGCAACTTTGCTGAACTCTGTGTCTCCATCTAGCAGAGATGTGCTTGTTTGTTTCATTGAGAGCATATTATCTTGATGGTTTAAAAAAGGGGTACTGAGGTACCTGTTTCCTTTTCCCTACTTACACACCTGATTAAAATCTTAAAACCAGATATTCTAATTTTGAGCTTGTGAACCATGGCCAGGTAACCATAAAAGCTTTGAATGCAAAATGAAGAAACAGGAGCAAGAAACAAAACTAATAGAGTAGTCAAATTATTACTTTATTTGATTTCCTGTGAAGCATTCACACTGTCATGACCTCCTGATGGCATAGACGAAAGCACTTTCTGTCCTTGAACGTGACAGCATTTATCACCTATGCTCAATTGAAGTTGAATCCAGTAAGCAGTCAATGAAGACACAGGCAGATCTTGGAGTCAAATCAATGCTGTTACTGATGCTGATTGCAGCCCAAAAATCATAGTATGGCATTTGTGAAAGAACAACTAAGACAAAAAAAATGACTTCAAAGGCAACACCTTCTCCCGTGTCACAAACTCATCCATTTGCGCTTTACTAGACGGCATTTGAAATTGGGCATTGAAAGGTGGTCGAAAGATTTATTTTCTGACTAGAAAATATACCCTGGACGTTCCTGATGGCTTCTGACTTTACTGTCATGGCAAAGAGGTTTGACTGGAGATGGTTTTTACACAGCATGGGGGAAGAGGCTCCATCATGATCTGTGAGACTTTTCCTTTAATGTTACAAAGCAGCATCAGGTTGTGCAAGGGCATCAAACCGTGGCTGACCATGTGGTGATGTTGCAGTAAGATTCCCTTTTGATTGATTGTTCTCATCTGTGCTGTAATTACTGGGCCTCATAACAGGATGACACTGCAGTTCTTAACACCCAACTAATAAAGGATCTAATCCAGAAGATTAAGATCCCTCTTTTGGACTATCCTGCCTGTTCTCCTGATCCTCATCTCCTTGGAAATATTTAGGGACAGATGGTAAGGGAAGTTTATAAAAATAGATGCCCTTTTAAAAAAAAGGAATTTTTTCGGTACTAGAAGCCTTTATTTTTGATAGTAGGTAGACAGGAAGGAGGGGCAAAGAGAGGGGGAGATATTCGGCAAAGGTCGCCGGGTCCGGGACTCGAACCCGGGACGGCCGCTTCGAGGACTATAGCCTCTATATGTGGTCACGCGCTAACCACCAGCGCCGCGCCAAAATCAACGTCCTTTTTAAAGCCACCTTCATCACATGGAGCCACATACCCATCACTGAACAAGATCAATGGGACAATGAGTGTTTTTCTTCTTTTAACTTAAAGTTTGGCCATTTAAGCTGTGTCCCACATAGTACCCACAGGGAAGGGAAGCTGATTTGACATGTGCTGATGCTGGGTGGGTGGAGCTGTCTGATGATAATTATGTTTGGGCCGCAGATGCCCCCAAACTCTAATTGGGTTATTATTTGCGACAGAGTGCTGCAAGCTAAGCACAATGTGAAAGATATACAACACTTCTTGCTCACTACAGGCAGAGTTTTTAAAGATCACACTGTGAAACATCTAAGGTGGACTTAAGCTACATTTCAGCAACTATGTCCCTTTCCTTCCCAACTTGGCCTCCATCAGCTATCTGCTAGCCTCATAGCCTTTGGGCCTGTACTTGAAGTCACCCTGCATTCCTCACATTCTTCCACATCATGACCCATCATCACCAGCAGACATTTATGGCTGGTCATACATCACATCCTTATTGTCTGGGAAAACATTTTGGGATATATTTATAAACTGACTGTTTTAGGTGAAACGCTTAAATAAATAATTCTAAATAACACATTTTGTGTCAACAGAAATATTCAAAGTGCCTTGCAAAGCATTCATTGCATTTAAACTGTTGCACATTTTGCCCCATTAATAGGATTTCAATGTATTTTATTGAGATATTATTTGACAGGTCAACACAAGGTATTGTATAATTATGAAGTGAACGGGTTAATATTTTTAGTTTTTTTTTTTTTTTTTAACAAATAATCTCTAAAAGTGTGTTTTGCCTCCTCAACTTTGATATAGCTAAATAAATTCAAGTGCACCCAACTACCTCAGGAAGAACACAGCTGACAGGTCAGGTATAAAGTTGTGGAGAAGTTTAAAGCAGAGTTAGGTCATACAAAGATTTGACCATCTTACAGAGCACTGTTAAACCCTTTGAGGCCCCTTGAAAAACCTGGAACCCAAATGGGTCCCTGCAGAAACTGTTCAGAAAAAACAAATATAACAGATATATTTTTTCACTTTCAAAGCTTTATTGTTTTAATCAACTTCAGCACAAATCCAAAATACAAAGTTTTTATTCATTTTATTGTTTTTACATTCTGATCCATGTTTGTTAATAAAGCATTCCTCATTCTATTCAGAAAAAAACATAAATTATAACTTAAAAAGTGAGGAATGGAATGTGGCATTTTCTTGTGTGTGTAGTTTATCTCGACAATTTTGTGTCGTCATTATATATATTATTTCTATGCGATAATGCAAGACATATTAGAGAGGGGATCAATTGAGATCCCTTTGTTAGATTTGCCATGAGCTACTGGCTATGTACTTTCATTAACTCCAATGTTAACGCCAAGGCTAAAATTGAAAAGGTCACTTTATGTGATGGGCTAATAAAACCCTATATTTAACAAAAATTTTTAGGATATTAAATAAAAATTTATGGGTTATACCCATTATATCCTAAAAATGTTTGAATGGCTGAAAGACAGGATCCATTTAAACTGGGGGCCCTATGCTTGTGGTGTAGCTTTTGATTTTTATAATGTTCCAGAGTTTCTGTTTATTTTTATTATGAAAAATGCAGTGACTTCATTAGGATATAATAAGGTAACAATAGCTGGGCAGGCACAGTTTTAACAGATACTAGTGTAAAAAAAGCAAGTTGCTGATAACACCGGAAGTAAAAAATAACAGCCTTTGGCTTTCTGTTCTTCCTCTTAGACCTTATCTAGCATTGAAATATTTTTTCACTTAAACTCACACTCTGCTAACACGCTCATTAGCCATTGCCAAAACATTTCATGACAGGGTACCAGCTCTGGCATCACTCAGTCACTTCTCCATATTAGATCAATGTGTGTGTGTGTGTGTGTGTGTGTTTGATTGGTGGGTGTGTGTGATCCGGGCAAATGGGTTTGAATTGCAGTACATATGTTAAATTTACAATCTCTTTCCCCCTGCGGATCCTTTAGTATTTTTTTTACAATAAAATTAAGTATCTTCAATCATGTTATTCTCACATTTAACATTTGACCCCTAAAATTTCCTTTCAGGGGAGTTAGGGAGAGCTCATGCTTCCCATTCTTGTCCCTCTTTAAAACAAACCAACAAACAAAAGTCTCCCCAATCCTGCTTTGTAAAATGACACTCTGAAGACATGCTATCTGTACTCAGTGCATTTGTACAGTAGGTGTGTGTGTTTGTGTTTTTGCGCACGCTGACGTCAGAGCTTAAGGTAGAATTTCATATTTGATATTATTATCAGTTCCACAGTGATGAGCGGTGTGTGTGTGGAAGACCCACTGCAGCTCTGACCTACTTGGTGCAGTGAATGGGCTGCATAGAGGCTGTTTTTGTTGAGTGTGTGTGTATTTGCTAGAGCTCTGGGATGGTGTGTGGACACTGGGAGTGTGAGAAGCTGGGTGTTTTGACAGCTTGAGAGTAGTTCCAGCATGAAGCTGGGATAGAACAGGGGGAGGCGAGTGGACCTGTTGAAGGTTTGGGTGAGCTGTGGGGTGAGAGCAGGGTCAGTGGGGGAGCGGACAGGACGGGGATCAGATGAGGGCAAACATTCGCACCAGAATCCTCTGTGAACATTAAAATGCCACATGATATGTGTTCCTTGGTGATGGATAAACTCATGATATCATCTGAAACGCTTCTAGGTGAGCCTTCCGTGTGCAATAATAAAAACAATGTTTTTACTTAAGATATCAGTGACTTTGAAACACATAAAAAGGAAACAATGCAAACTGCAAATATATAATGCAAATAAGTGTGCAAACTATGGTCTGTTGTTAGGCAAGTATCAGCTACAGGGTCTTGCAGAATATTCATACTTTTTCACATTTTGCAATGTCACAACCCCAAACTCCAAAGTATTATATTGAGATTTTGTCTGATAGAAGTGGAAGGAAAATATTTCCCAAATAAAAATTTTTAAGGTTCAGGAATTTCTGTCTATCCCTATTTACTCTGTCTTAAATAAAAACTAGTCAGTCAGTCATTCATTTTCTACCACTTATTCCATAGTGGGTCGTGGGGAAGCTGGTGCCCATCTCCAGCAGTCTATGGGCGAGAGGCAGGGTACACCCTGGACAGGTCGCCAGGCCATCACATGGCAACACACAAACAACCATGCACACACCTAAGGTAGGTACACCCTGGACAGGTCGCCAGTCCATCACATGGCAACACACAAACAACCATGCACACACTCATTCATACACCTAAGGGCAATTTAGAGAGACCAATTAACCTAACAGGCATGTCTTTGGACTGTGGGAGGAAGCCGGAGTACCTGGTGAGAACCCACACATGCATGGGGAGAACATACAAACTCCATGCAGAAAGACCCCCGGCTGGGAATCGAACCCAGGACCTTCTTGCTGCAAGGCAACAGTGCTACCAACTGCACCACCGTGCAGCCTTCGAAAGCTAGCTAAATCAAAACTAGTGAAATGAATTGCCTTGTGAATTCACCTAAGTGGTCAAGAGAGCCCACCTCAGTGTAAAATAATTACAGTATAAATACAGCTGCTCTGTGAAGGCTTTAGTTAATGAAAATTGGTAAAAGCTTAAAGCAAGGTCAGGTTGGGAAGCAATATCCCTAGCTTTGAACTTCTCACTGAGCACGAATCTAAAAATGGAAGGGTATGGCACAACAGCAAATCTATCAAGGTATGGCTGTTCACCTAAACCTAAACTGACAGGCTAGGCAAGGACAACATTAATCAGAGAAGAAGCTAAGAGGTCCATGGTAACTCTGGAGGAGCAGCAGAGATCCACAGCTCGGGTGAGAGAATCAGTTGACAAGATGACTATGAGTCAATGCACTGCACAAATCTGTTTATGTCAGAATCAGAATCAGCTTAATTGCCAGGTTTGTACAGACAAACAAGGAATTTGACTCTGGTGCACTTTGCTCTCAATAATTAATAAAGAATATCTTTTTAAAGGTACATATATACACAATTGACTTTACAATAGGATATAATATGAGTTCAGTCCAAGTATTCATTGTGTTGTGTTATATAGAGGAGTGGCAAGAAGTGAGCTGCTGTCGAAAGAAAGCCAAGATAACTACTGTGTGGGACACAGGGGACACAGCAAATATGGAAGAAGGTGCTCAATAGAGACAAAAATTTAATCTTTTGGCCCACACATAAAATACAATGCTTGGCAACAAATGAACTCTGCAACACCCTGAGCATACCATCCACACAGTAAAACATGGTGGTGGCAAGGTCATGCTTTTGGAATGCGTTTTTACAGCTGGTACATAGACACTGGCCAGAGCTGATGGAAAGATGGATAGAGCTAAATACAGGGTAATTCTGAGAGAAAACCTTTTAGAATGTGAACAAGTTCAAGAATGAATATTTTGCAAGCCACTGCAGTATGTTTTTTTTTCTGACCAGCTAAGAGTCTCTATTTTTGTATTTACACCCACTATTCTCATTAAAGGTTTCTGGTTCTATCACATACTCGGTTGTTTGTGCTTTGAAATCATCATCTAGCTACAGAATCATGTTTTTTATGGTGTGTCACGTGATCAAATTAGCGTAATCTGATTGGTTAAAAGACACTTGACTGATCGAGTGCTGATTGCTTTAACACCCATTTGAGATTCGGTATTTTGTTTTTCATCTAATGGAACTGAATAAAATGTTTGACTGACCTGATGACAGCTAGTTCCGCAGATGCTCTTGTTTTGAAGTGACCGGAAGAAGCGGCAACACATTTGCAGGCAATTTTTGCAGGTGAATTTCTGCAGGTGAATTTCTGCAGGCGATTTCTGCAGGTGAATTTCTGCAGGTGAATTTTTGCAGGCAAATTTTTGCAGGTGAATTTCTGCAGGTGAATTTTTGCAGGTGAATTTTTGCAGGTGAATTTTTGCAGGTGAATATCTGCAGGTGAATTTCTGCAGGTGAATTTCTGCAGGCGATTTC